CATTGGACGTCTACATTACCTCACTATTAAACGTCCTGATCTCACTTTTGCAGTTCAACAATTGTGCCAGTATCAAGCTGCCCCAACCTCTAATCATTTGCAGCTTGCATACAGGATTTTGAAGTACCTTAAAAATGCTCCAGGGCAGGGTTTGTTCTATCCTTCCAAGTCTGATTTACAGCTCAGAGGCTACAGTGACTCAGACTGGGCATCTTGTCCAGATACCAGGCGTTCCACAACAGGATACTGTGTCTCCTTGGGACGATCCTTGATCATTTGGAAATCAAAGAAACAGAGCACTGTTTCTCGATCATCTTCTGAAGCTGAGTATAGGGCTCTTGCTCAGCTTACTTGTGAAGTTGTGTGGGTGAAAAGACTTCTACAGGAACTGCACATTGAACATCCAAGACCTGTAGAAGTCTACTGTGACAATCGATCGGCTATCTATATCGCAGAAAATCCTGTGTTTCATGAACGAACGAAACACATTGAGGTTGATTGTCACGTTGTCAGACAGTTCCTTCAATCCAAGCTCATCCATCTCAGCCATCTTGAAACAGAGAATCAGGTTGCAGATATGTTTACAAAGGGATTAAGCAGGCATCGTCATCCAAGCTGAACATACATAATATGTATGTGTCAGCTTGAAGGGGCGTATTGAAGAAGACGATGGAGATGCAGCCTGATTCTGTCTAAGGCAAGAACACTACCGAGCTGGTGGCACGACATCGTTTCAACCATAAGCAAGTGAAGAGCTGGGAGCAGACAACGCCGTTCCACTTAGTGTTCTTAGGAGTTTCCGTTTTTACTGTATATATTTACTGTCTTCTGTTGATTGGTAGTTAGAGGATAGTTAATTTATTTTATCGTTGTAAATATGCTGACTAGACCCCTTGTACAGGAAGCTGTCTCTGGCTTCGTATATATACTGCCCTTGAGGCAAATGAGCTCCTTTGCGGGTTCTTCCACCAATCTCTGATCCTATCCAAAACTTCACACCGTGGGCTGGACTCGCCGGAGCTATGGATCGCGTCGCTGAAGAACAAGTCGAAGAGGAAAATCGTGGGCTCGGGATTGCCTCCGCGCCGCGAAACTAAAGTTTCGCTTGTCACTACGCCTGGCGCAGACCTGGAGATGACGACCGCGACCCTGACCAGAGTCGGCGGAGCAGAGTAGTTGACGATCAGCGAGCAGACGACGTTGAAGACAACGAGGAGAGCGGGCGTGACCACACGCCGGAGTTGTTCACCGCCGCCCGAGGTGGAGCGCCGTGGCGGCGTCAACCGACGAGGAAGAGCGTCGGCAACTCCAGCCGCGCGAGAGGCGAGAGCCCCAGTAGTCGTCGAGGCGCGTGATGACGACGAGGAGAAGCCGAAGGCGAGGGCGGCAGCAAGTTTACCTCCTAGCCGCGGGAGGGATCTCTCGCCGGAGAACGAGTGGCAGGGGAGGCCGCCTGAGAAGGATTCGAAGAAGAGAAAATATGGCGGCGGAATCCTCCACTCACCGAGGAAGGAGAGGGAAGGGGCGACAGACAGATCGGTAGCCTCGCCCGAGTCCCCGATAGCGTCTTCGACCGGGAGAAAGAAGAGCCGACGGCTCCTGGTGGTTTCGACCGGAGATGGGGCGTCGTCGATGGACGAAGCAACGAAGAAGATGAAGGCGACGTCAAAGAGGGAGCTAGTTGGGCTCGTTTCGGGCCGACTAGAGCAACACAGCGGGCCGCGAATTGAGATGAAGAGGGCTAAAAGGAGCTTTGGTAGTGGGCCGAAAGGGTTGAGGGGTAACGGACCGGGTCAGAGGGGGAAGTTTGGGTTGGCCATGGGCAGTTCGGCCAGTAATAGAAGCTTCCCTGGGCTTGCTCTTGACCGGCCGCAATGGGCCGAGTTGAAGCTGGTGGGTGGACCTGATGAACTAACAACTACAGAGTTGGATTGGAAATACTTATTGGGCCGTGTTTTTGGAAGCAATTTGGGCCGAGTATGTGTTGTCTCTCTACAAAGGTGGGCTTTGAGGAAGAAGAAGATGAGTTTAAGAGCTTAGCAAATGGGCTTTCAAAGGAGTTTAGCCCACTCCCATATAGAGGAGAGTTCTTTGACTCTTATTTCATGGACTTCAAAATAGAGGAGGAGCAATTCCCCGATTCTTACTTCGTGGATTTTGAAATGGAAGAGGGCGAATTATTCGGCTGTGAAGAACGTGACAAATATCACGTGAGTGGAGGAGAGTCGAGGAAAGTTGGACTGGTGCGAGAAGAGTTTATTCAAGGGATCGAGCGCAATTGGAAACGAAGAAAGCGGAAGGTTAAGGAGGTAGAAGTCAACTACAACCTTGAGGTCAAGGTTGTTTTCAAGGGGGATGGATTGTGAGAAACACATTTATTTGGAGTAGTTGCAATCCAGTTCAACTACAACCTTGAGGTCAAGGTTGTTTTCAAGGGGGATGGATTCGTCTCCGGAATGCAAATATTCCCCCTAAGCTTAAAGTGTTCGTTTGGCAAATCCTTAATCGTGCCCTTCCTACTACAGAGGCTTTAATTGAAAGAAAGGTCCCAGTTCATCCACGATGCCCAGTTTGTTGGGGCGCTTCTAAAACTCTAGAGCATTTGTTCCTACATTGCCCGGTGGCTCGTGCTCTGTGGGATTATTCGGGATTGGAGTATCTAGGGGAGGGTTTGCCTTGACAGACCTTTCCCGTGTTTCTGAAGAGGTTGTTGGCTTTGGTTAATCAGCCTGGGCTTTTCATGGCAATAGTTGCAATCCTCTGGAGGATTTGGCGGTCTCGCAATTGGGTTGTCTTTGAGGGTAAACAGTTCAGTTTCCCTGCTCTGATGAGGCAGTTTAACCAACAGTATGACGAGTGGGTTAGTTTGTCTCCCAGTAGGGATCCTCCGGTCCGAGTTCGGGCCGGGAACCAATCTGGAGGGGCTGGAGCTGCTAGCCTGATTTGTCGCTGGGATGGTGCCACCAGGGCTGGGTCTCATTCGGCTGGTGGCGTGGTTATCCTAAATGCAGCCCGAGAGATTGTTCTGGTAAAGGGGATGCAGTTCCCTCTGCTGGATGACCCTATGGTTGTGGAGCTGTTGGTACTCCGGGAGGTTATTTTGTGGTGTAGGAACCTTGGGTTTGAGGATATCATCTTTAAGGGCGACGCTAAAGTTATCATTGATAAAATCAACAATGCGGACGTCAGGGACAATCGGATGGGTGCAGTGCTCGTAGAAGTTGTACATCATTTCAACACTCATTCTGGTTTTAGTATTCGATTTGTAGGTCGTGATAGCAATCGGGTTGCCCATTCTGTAAGCCTTGTCTTTGTTTCCGGCTATATGTCGTATGTTTGATTTTCAGTCCTGGCTGAACTCCAGGATGTAACTATCGTTTGTGGATCAATACATGATTATTTTTTGTCACAATATGAAATAATTAATCTTAATTATATTTATTAAAAAATTATACCTTTAAATTATGAAAAGATGATAGGGATAGGTTCAAATACTGCCTATGCCACTGTCTGTGGGATGGATATCTATCGCTTCAATAGGTAAGTGAACAACAAGTTTTTTTCATTGCCAACTTATCTTATTGAAGGAATCAGAGTTGCAGGATTAGTCACGATGACCTTCTTTTTTTTTATAGTGGTGACATAATTTATTACTTAAGAAAAGGGAAGAGACAAACAAGGTTGCAGCAACAAACAACAGCAACAACAAGCAGAATAAAAAAGCTGGTGCAAAACGAAACAAAAGAAAAGAAAGCACCTTCCCCAAAACACATGCAATCCATCTCTTCGATGTCCATCTCAAAGCAAGAGAGAGAGCTCTCAGTTTCAAGCCCTGCAGAAGACCTCCCAAACAGCAGCAAACAACAGAAAGGAGGGTGGGACTGCTGGAATCTTGCAAAAGGTCATCCTATCCTCCAAACCTTCCCACATCCAATCCTGGTAAAGTTTATCGGCTTGGTAAAAGATGTGCTTTCAGCGTTTTTAACCAGCTCTCGGCAACCTGTCGATCCACTTTCCTGGCACTGACCAGCCACCCTGTGATCTGACAACCAACTTTGTAGCAAACAATTTGAGGTGTTGATGCTTTCTCTTAAAAAATCCTTAGATTTCTCTCTTTCCAAACATTCCAACAGACATCATGTAAAATAACCTGTGTGCACCAATGTGAAGGGTTTTGAGGCTTCTGGCTAGGCCAACCTGCAATGACATCCGATAATTGGCTTTGCATTGTGCTCTCAATCTTGACAAACTTCCTGATGATCTCCCAAACCAATTTCGCATCGCTACAGCCAAGGAAAAGATGGTCAATGTCTTCCTCAGCCGCTCGACAGAGTTCACATCTACTAGGTAGTAGCCATCCACGCCTTCTAAGGACATCATGAGTGAGGATTCTTGCCATCCACGCCTTCTAAGGACATCATGAGTGAGGATTCTTTTCTGGTAAACTGTCCACAAGAAGAAAAAGGTTTTCAAGGGTATGGCCTGCTGCCAGATAACCTTGTACGGGAAGGCATCAACTCCTGCAAATTGCTCAAGGATCCTTGCTTCTTTATAGCTATCAGTTCTACCTCAACTGTTTGCGTCGCGTGTTTGATTGTTTTGGATAATCAAATTCATAGTCAGGTTTAGAACATTTAATAACCGTAAAATATGGGTTGTAGTAATTTTCGTGACCAATATCATTGGTTACGTTCTAAGTTTGTGAGAATCCGAAACGAAAAATATGATCAAAGATGCAACAGAAAATTTCGATCAATAAATAGCTCGACACTGAAATTTGACATTTATTGGCCATTTTTATCTATTGAAAAAGTCAATTTCTGTTGTAGCACAGAATTGCTTATTACAATACCCCCTTGAAACTAAAATACAGAACAAATTATTCACAAGTACAAGACGAAAAAAGATTCGGAACAATGCGTTTCTCCCCTGCTTTATTTATTTTTCTTCTTATTTTCCCCTTCACCTAATCTGTTTAATTAGAAAAAATACCATAGATTCTACTTTTTCCAAGAAGTACATATATCATATCGCAAACTATATATATCATACATGCACACTCCAAAGGGTTTAACAAGCCATTCAATAGTTTTAGGGTCATTATGATTCCTCGTGTCATCATAAATATCAAACCAATGGATCCCATTGCTACCGGGCCATTCAAATGAACAATAGAATAGGGTTCTGAAAAATAACGCCGTCCAAAATTTAAAATGAAAACTCTCATTATATCCCAGCACCCTAACTCCGAGATCATCATCTTTTGACTTACAGTGCACCTTCACCTGAGCCTTGAGTCTGTTTCTAACTATCACTATTTTCTTCAACGGAAAGACATTATCGACATCTTTGCGATTGGCTTCAACAGCAGCATTCATGGTTACGACGACCACCATGAACATAACATTAGTTATCATCAATACTGCCCTTCTCATCCTCATGCTTGGTCGAATTCAATATGGATGACACCCAATGATGTGTGGGTGTATTTCAGTGAAGTCGATCGATATATATGTGTGTGTGTGAGCGCACTAGTTTCGGCATTTTCAGTGCAGTTAGTTAGCAATGGATAACTCAAACTCTATTTTTTGTTTTCTATTTCTATTTTTTTATCATAAACACACGACCGTGATTACTTGCTTCTTCAAAATTAAGATTGCGGTTGTTTTACCCCCAAAGACCACTAATAAATTGGCTTCTTAAAATAATTTTAAACCTCTTATTTTTCAAAAATGTTAACCCTTTTTTTATCATCCACATATGTTACTTTGTAGTTTGTACTATTTTTTTTTTTTTGTCAGAAACATTAGACGACTTCTGCATCACCTCGTGGAGAGAGTTGTTAGTGTTGGAGCTTGGAAGCCAGATCTGATCAACTAAACCGGCACCGTTTCACATATATTCTAATGTGATAGGAGAGCAAAACCGTAATATATTATTTGACATTACATAACATATTCTCACATTACACATTTTGTTCGAATAAGCTAGAGCTGTAAAAACTAGTCAGCTGACGTTCTTGTACTAGGACACAGTAAATATTTTTCCGTTAATTATGTCGATCTCATTTAGGAAGCAGGATAAGTAAGAAATATAAAGGAAAATAGCTTCATAATTATCCAAATTAGTAAATTCAGCTTGTTCATAGATTTGTAGAGCGGATCCTGCGTAGGAATTTATCACACCACAACAACCTCACTCTCATACAAAATCTCCTACGTATAATAAGTACTACGCGTACCTAAAAAATGTCTCTCACGATCATCAACACAAACATAGAAAACGAAGAATGATGTGGCGAAACCATGCCATTTTGTTAACCCTTATCTTACTGCCAGCACTAACAGCGTCTCTCCCCGTGGAAATGAAGAACCCTATCGATTGGATCCGAGCCCCGACGACGGTGAGGGTGGAGAACAGGGTGGAAGGAGGTGCCGAATTGAAGCTTCATTGCAAATCGAAAGACGATGACCTCGGAGTCCGGGTGTTGGGGACACGTGACCAATTCGTGTTTAGGTTCCGTCCAAATTTATGGGGAACCACTCTGTTCTATTGCTCTATGAGCTGGGGAGAAGGACAGATTCATTGGTTTGACATTTACATTTTTTACAGAGATTACAGACGTTGTAGCAATTGTCAATGGGTCATCCGGAAAAATGGCCCGTGTTATTATGACGCAGGCACCCGTGAGTTCGATATTTGTTATGAGTGGAACCGTTAGAGATTTGTCAAAGAGGAAGCCGAGACAATAATAGTTTCTCCTGTACTATTGCTTTAAGCATTTCGTCACAGAATATGAGATCAAGTGGTCATCATCCAGTCAATTCCATAGTGGCTTCAGTTTACAATTTTCAGCCTCAAGAGATCGCCTTGTGGCAATACAGATTAATTAGGGCACATTTAATTTCAAGTTCAAAACATTTTTTTTAGCAGAATTCTAATCCTGAGATACCATTTAATGAGGTTTGTCATTGTGAGTCTTGACATTATGCTAAATAGAGGAAAGTTAAGTTCCATTTCCTTCCAGTAACAACATTAGTAAAGAGAGCTTTGAGTTGATTCACACAAGCATTTTGAGACCCTTGAGTGTTCAATCCTATGATGCTTTTCATATTTTCTTACCATTATAGATGCTTTTTTGAGAGCTTCTGTCTGATGATTGAAAATCAATATGTGAAGAGAGTTAAAGTGATTAGGGGAAGGAATTTTACATGACATGTGTTCATAATGAAAGAGGAACTGCACACCAAATGTCATGTGTTGGGAGTCAAGAATAAAATGATTCGGTTGAGAGCAAACATCAACACATTTTGAAAATTGTTAGGGCACTAAGATTCAATCTAATTTGCCTATGAGGTTCTGGAGTGATTGTATTTGTATGCAATTCACATTTTGAATCCAATTCCTACACCATTTTTAGAAACAAATTCCATTTGAGAAGCTATTCAGTATTATGCCTAAATATTCCTTCTTTATTGTAAACTAAAATATGAACTATCTCATAAATTTAATAAACATATTGCATACGTTTTCAGTAATACAGTATTACATATGTTTTCTGTAATATAAGTATGACAAAAAAATCTTTATTATTTCGTTAAACTATTGATCATCTTATCAATTTACATTACTCAAGTTCTATAAGCTTAGTTCTTTTCCATGTAAAAGTTTACCAAATGTGATACTTTTATAACTTAAAACCCTTTATTATTATCAGAATATTAGTCATCTCATAAATTTGCATTCCATAAAAGATCATGTAAGGTGTGATAACTTTTACATAACATTGAAATCAAATGTAATTCTTTCCATTACTTTATTTTATTATTTGACCTCATATTACAGTTCTATAATGATGACATTACGTAAGGGTAAAGCTTATAGAGTAGTAGTTAGTACTTATGTTTCAATTAAACAATGTATTACACAAGTTTTTCATAAATGAGTTTGAAAAAAATCCTTTATTACTAACTAATATTTTTTCATCTCGCCAATTTTCATTACACAAATACTTTGTAATATTGGTTATCTTAATTCATTACGTAACATTTTAATAAAATGTGACTTTTTGTAACTTTATTCATTTATTATTAACTAAATATTCACAATCTCTTTAGTGTGCATTAGTCAGATCTTTTAAATCTTTTAATAAGTTTTAGTCAAATGCGATACTTTTCGTAAATTGATTTTATTATTAGCCAACGTATTACAAAAGTTTTACATAACACTATTTTATAACAATTACATAAATTAAAAATATGTTACGTAAAATTTGTGGAGGTGTAGTTGTTCTTATCAATTAAATAAACATATTACGTGTGAATTTTTTATATGATTAAGAAACTAGGTAAAATTTATGGATGAATAATTATCTCTTATTTATCAATTAAGTAAACATATTACGTAAATATTTTGTAATGATTAAGAACATGTTTGGTAGTTAAGATTCTCTAGATTGATGTATTTAATCAATTTATATGTATTGTTTCAATCCACGGATTTGAAAAATACATTGTTTGTAGGTTGAATAATTGTGGTGGTCCCTAAAAAAATGACGAAGAACAAATGAGAGATTGACAATCTCATATTTTTATCTGAGATTGACAATCATCAACAATGAACGATTTTGGTGGTCTCATCTTATGCTCGAATACAAGTACTATATTTCATTTTAAGACGAAAAAATGATGAATTCTCCTAATTCTTATTTTCTAAATACATCATCTGACATCCTAACTTCCAAGTAATCATAATTATTAAAGATACTACGTTGAGCTTATGGGAATATATTACATGAATAATTTTATGAATAATTTAATTTTTCCAGCTAAATTATTAATGAAATAAAAGGTAAATGCAAGACAATGAAATTCATTGTGTCTCCTTTGCCATCTGATATATAAAATCAAACAGATGCAAAAAAAAAAAAAAATATCGAATCAGCGAGTTCAGCCTGGGCCAACTCCCCACATTAGCCACCAACCTCTGAGCTTCCACGTTCCGTCCACGGTCATCCAGATCTTGCTCGGATCTATGCGTGTGAGGCTCCACCGCCCTCGTCGGAGTCCCGCTTTCCCTTGTTGCGACCGCGGCCGTCGATTCTCTCTTCAACAGCGATCAGAAGCTCGTCGACGTGTTTTTTTCTTTCCATCTGTTCTTGTTGCCGGATCGATCCTCCCTTCCTTGCCTTCCTCGCCGCCGCATCTCGAACAACAACCTTGTATAACAACCATGACAGCTGGCCTCGGTGACGTGTAAAGCAGGAGCCAATGTATAAATAGGAAGATTCTTTCTGTGATTGGCTATATGTTGTTATCCAATAAACTCATTCTTAGCTGCTTTACCAATTTTGTTAGTAGATAGCTGAATAAACACGACTCTTCCCCCTGTATCTTCATCTTCCCTATCTCAATACAATTCGCCAGATTTCCTCCATTATCGATCCTTACAAGTGGTATCAGCAACATGTAATCTGGCAATGGCGACGAATACGTCTCGAATCGTGGATTTGGAGAATCAGATGGTGGCGGTCCAAGTGAAGTTGGATACTCAGCATCAAGATTTGAAGGACACCATTGTTGTTTTGGTGGCCTCGACGAAGGAGAATATTGACGCTCTTACAGCTTCTCTCACCAGGTTGCGGGAGAAATCGCTGATTCGCTCGATGTCGCACGCCGATCCCGGTCATTTTACCGGTCACCAACACTTATATCATCAGCAGCGTCGTCCGCTGCTTATCGACCACTATCTGCGGTTGGAATTCTCTTACTTTTCTGGCTCGGAACCTCTAAGCGAATCTCGGATTATGAATGATCCTCACGCCTGTACTTCCGAGTTGCGGGGACAAAAGATGCACACTCAAAGACCTTTGGGTCGCATGAAAAAAAAAGGTTACGATCATGAATTCATTGAATTCGTAGATTTTGTACAATGTTATGTTTTTTTGTTGTTTTGTGCATTTTTTATTTTAGCTTTAAAGATTTTTATGGATATCAAATCTTTTATAATCATAAAGATTATGTATCTTGATTCGGGAGATCTTTTTCCTCCTAAGGTCTAGGAAGATAATTAAGCATTCATTTGAAATGCTAATATACAGGGGTGGAGCCAGGATTTCGTGATCGGGTGGGCCGGAAATAATTAAATATAAATAAAATTAAAATAATTATTTTAAAAGTACACAACGTTCTTTGAGATAATTGTTCAAAATAGCATCTAAACTAAAAATTTTAGCTATCTTTCATTTAATATAAATATCTAAATCTTTAATAAGAAACTCATCATTTTAATTCCTTTGACAATCATATCTCTGTTAATCTCTAGATCATATAGTTTCTATAAAGGAGAATGATCAGAATTATAATTAGAAAAATCACCAAGTGAAAATTAAATAGAGGTTGACTTTTCACCGAGTTAGACTTATGCAAATTTTATCCGAATATCCTTAGGGTCCTAGGGGTCGAGACTATTCCCGGGTGAGCCGGGGCCCATCCTACACTCTATGTAGCTCCGCGCCTGCTAATATACTATTATTCAATTTTAGGAAAACATATAAATGCTACGTAGAAAACAATAGGTTCAAGTTTATGAGATGTCTTGTATGTTTTTAGAATTTTCTGGTACACTTTAATAATTTTATGGTCTGTTTAGTGACGTTTTTTGTGTGTTTTATGAAGTTTTTGGTATGCTTTAAGAAACTTGTGTTGTGCTTTAAAAAACTTGTGATGTGATTTAAAAAACTTGGGGTGTGATTTTTTTTTCTCTGATATGTATTTTGTGGTATGCTTCATGATACTTGTGGTGGAGCGAACTTAATGCACCGCGTTTAAAATCTTCTGAAACAACTTCTTAACTTCATGTCTGATTGAGTCTATGGAATGAGTGATGATTAGGGTTGTTAACGATTCGATCCGAACAGAGTATTGATGGTTCGGGCTCGGCTTGTTAAACAATTCCAAACTGCTCAGCTTGTTAAAATAATTCCAAGCTTGAGATTGACTCGAGTTTGGTTCGTTTACTGAGCTCGGTTCGCCAAATGAGGTTAACGAGAAAAAATTGAGTTCAGCTGATAAAATGTCTATTGTAACTCAAGTTCGAGCTTGAGCTCGGCTTACAAGACACCAACATGCAGCAAACACTTAAAAGGCTTTCCAACTTGTTCGCTAGTCTATCGAGCTGAACATTTCATGGTTCAAACTCGGCTCATTTACCAACGAGCTTGTTCGCGAGCCAACTCAATTAATAACGAATCGAGTCGAGCACTATCACGCAAGTTTTTTCTCGAGTCGGACACCCAATCGTTCATGAGTGGTTTGGTTCATTACTAACAACCCTATTCACCGTAGAAGATAGTTTGGAAAATCAATTGATGAACGAAACTGGGTATGTTGAACATTGGTGACGCGTTAGTTGCGTAGCACATGCATCATCAGTTGACTCTGCCGTAAACCGAATATTGAGAGAAAGAGAGGCATAGTCGGCTATTCGTACCATGCCAACGTGAAGAGACAAGCCTTGCAAATTAAACGTATTTTTAGTTAGCATCGATCGGCTTCCTCGTTGCTTTCTGCTGCTTGGGATATCCGCAACCCAGTCAATCGCCGGACGAGTGAATCAACGGAACCATTTTGCATATAAATAACCAATGCGTAGTTAGCTAGCCACGAACAATATAATTGAACATAAGACCTAAAGAAGCTAAAATATAATGGCGGGTGGTGG